CTCTGCAGCTGCAGGCTTGGAGCTGGGGCACGACAGGCTGTGGCTGGGTTGTTCAAGGAGAGCGTTTTCTCTCAGGATGGTGATGACTGATAACGCGAGCGCTGTCTAACCCAGCACTGCCACGCGAGCCACGTATGGAAGTTTTAAATTTTCCAGCAGCCGTGTTAAAAAAGTAAAACAAACCAGTGAGATTGATTTGAATGTATTTTATTTACCCCAGTTTGTCCAAAATTATACGTGAATGTGTTATCAGTATTTTAGAAATGATTAGTGAGACAATGTGGGTTGCTCTCAATTCAGAGGCTACGTTTTCACTGGAAATACTTGCTCTGTAGTAAGAGCTCATAAAACTTAGGGTTGAAAAAGTAGATTCACAAAGTCCTCAGGTGGTTCCAAACATACTTTTTCAGTCACTGAATTGAGGATCGGGTTTTAATTTTAAATTTATTAAAATGAAATAAAGTTAGGAATTCAGTGCCTCAGTAGCACCAGCTGTATTTCAAGCACTGGGAGGCTCCTGTGTTGGCCGTTAACACCCACATCATGTTGGTGGTGGCGCAGAGTCGACGAGCATCATCTCCCAGCACCCTCCTGGAGGCCTCGGGCAGCTGGGACGTGTTGGGAGACGTGTCCCGTCATGTCCTGGTGGATGGGAATGTTTGTTCCCTTCAGTTGTAAACAGTAGTTGTCCAGAGGCAAGAAGAAGAATCTTGTAGTGAGGTGTGAGCGGTGCCTGAGTTGCCTCCGTGCAAGCATATTGTAGGTTTTGTTAGGATGCCTTTGGTGGCAGGGACAGACCTACCAGATACAGGGCCTTCCATGCTTAGGGAAGGCCTTATCTCTGACTAGCAGAAGCCCCAAGGTAGGGCAGATCCTTGGTGCGCTCAGCTCAGCCTAGCAAAAAGGTGGCCTCTTTTCTACCCACACGCCCCTCACAGGAACAATTACAGGCAGAAAAGCTGTCCATGGCTCCCCAGCACCCTCAGAAATCAGGAGAGGCCCGTGGCTGGGCCCCAGCGCTAGCCCACAGTGCTTGCCTCCAGGCCTTTGCACATGCTGGTCTTCCTTCCCAGAACATGCATCCCCTTATTTCTGCTTGGTCCATTTCAGCATCATCTTTTGTTCGTCAAATCTCAGGGGCTGCGCACCAGGAAGCCTTCCTCCCTGGTGTGATTCCAGCGCCCTGGACCCCACTGTGACAGCTCTGTCACATACCATTGTCCTTCTCGGACCCCCTCCAACCCAGTAGCTCCCCAAGAGCAGGGCAGGTATGACTGCTCTCTCAGCCTGGCCCAGGCCCTGCTTAAGGGTAAAGGAATCCCTCTGAAGTGCCTGGCATGCTTGCATGCCTCCTGTGACAGCAAGCTCATCCTCCGTCACTGGCTCGCCCTGAGTGCCAGAAAGTCGCTCTTCCCTTGGCCTCTTCTCACAGCAGCTTTGGCCCCTTCCTCCCGTGTGGCCCCCTCAGGGGCACCTGGGCTGCTACGTGCCTCTAGATCTTGCAGAGGCTGTGTCTGCTGGAATGTCCTTCCTCCAGGGCCAAAGCCCCTTCTCTTTTGGAGTTTTTGGAGACCTGATGCTTTGTTCTTTCTATGAATTCTTTTTTACAGCAAAGTATATCAGTTATGTAGAAGACAGTATCAAATAGATGTTGATGATTAAAGATTGCCTAAAGAAGACACTGGAGGCACACACAAATTCTTTATATGTATTTTTTAAGTCCACATCTGTTTGATACTGTTGTCTGCCCAACTGATTACTTCCCTATAAAAATTGATTTAATATAGTTGAGCATATAAGTGTATTAATTTATATATACATATGTGGAGATGGCATATCTATAAAAAAGTCCACAGATGGTAAGTGTGTTGCGTGTTACAACTCCCCTGACTGCACACAGCTGCATAATCAGGCCCCCAGACTGGCTCCCTGCACCCCCGTCACGAGCCCTTCTAGTTCCCATTCCTCCCCAAGGATGGCCACATCTAGGCTGGTTTTGCCTGCTTTTTGAAGCTTTCAATAGAGGTTTAAACAAAGGCCAGAAAGGGCTTCAGCCTCGGAAATTTAATTGCTGTTCAAATGTTATATATAGTCCATTTATGAAAGATGTTTGGTTTTTTCTGAGCCCTACAGAATAGTGTCAAGGCAAACATTTGAAGCAGTAGTGGTTATCCTCAGGGTAGGAGCGGGACAGAGGCTGCTGTGCGCCCTCAGGGGTCGCCACCCCTGCCCTGCCCTGCCCCAGGCAGAGGCCCTGTCCTGATATCCAGGTCACTCTCACACAAGCCCTTCTTGGGTAGCGTAGTTCTGGCCGCCCTCACTGGTGAACTGCTCCTGAACCCTCCTCCTCTTTCACAGCTCTCCTCAAATGTCCCCTCCTCCCAGCCACCGCCTCCAAGCCTCAGGCGGTGCCCAGGCGACCTCCATCCCTGCACATTTTGCTCAGGTGTGGAGATGGGGGGCCACTGCCTGGATCCCCTCAGGCCGGGAGTCCCTGGGGGCGGATCAGAAGTGCCGGATGCACGTGGATGCTGGTTGCCCAGTGTCACCACCTCACTCAGGCCTAACGCACAGGGCTCTGCACCTGTAATTAATAAATGAAGGATCAGATGGTCTCTGAGGCCAGTTCAGGCTCATCACTAAGTACTGGGCCTTAGTCACCTGGGAGCCAGAGACCTCCCACCCTCATCCCCAGCCATCCTCCCCTTTCCCGAGGGTGGGGTGGGTCACTCTGTACCTCTTCAGGCCCTGTTTTCATGTCTTCATGCGTTTTCTGAACTTGGCCACTTAGGAAGCCCTGGGAACACAGAGTAGCTACCTAGAAAGTGGCAGACGCTGGCTCTGCCCTCAAGGGCCTCCAGGTGTGGTCTGGGGGACAGAGGCAGGCTTAGATACAAAACTGCTCCAAGGGAGGTGATATAGGCAGTGTGGGAGCCCAGAAGAGGCCCTAGGACAGCGCTGGGCAGTAGGCAGAGTATGAGGTGCATGTATGATTTTCACTTCTCCACTAGCTACATTTTTTTAAAGACTAGGGAAAAAACAGGCAAAATTAATTTTGATATATTTATATAACCTAAAACACCCAAAATATTGTCATTTTAACATGCAATCAATATTTTTAAGTTTTTAGTGTTTTCCATTCTTTTTTTTCTCCACACTCAGTCTTCCAAATCCCTTGTATTTTTGCCACTTCCAGCCCATCTCAGTTTGGAATGGCCACACATTTCAGGTGCTCAGGAGCCACCTGGCTGACGGCTGCTGTATTGGACATTACAGCTATAGGGTCTGCTTGGCACTCGTCAGGAGGGCCCAATCAGAGAGGGCTTCGTGGAGGAGGTGATGGCCGAAGTGTAGCTTGTGGGTGCTTCCCTGGAAATTGGGAGTGAGAGGTGAGGCAGGATTCCTAAAGAGAAGGCAAGCACATGCCCCACTTGCCCATTCATTCTTTCATTCAAAGCGCACTTGAGCCTCCCAGGTACCTGGCCATGTGCTGAGGGATGCGGATGACACAGCCATGGGGCAGAGCAGGTCTCCACCCTTCAGATGATCAGAAATTCATTAAGCATCTGCTGTGTGCCCAGCACTGCTCTAGAAGCTCCCTCTTGATGCTCATTAATTTGAGGTGGGAGCCGAGGTTAGACAGTAAAGATAAAATGGTTACATGGTGTGAAACACACTAAGGCAGACTTTTTTCAATGGTGGGCACAGAATAATAAGGTGCTGACTTTAAAGAACTGGTCCGGAGAGGCCTCTCGGAGGAGGTGAGGAGCTGACACCCAAATAGCAAGAAGGTAACTGGAGAGAGGGGCCGGGCAGAGGGCACAGTGCATGCAAAGGCCCCTGACCTAGGAAGCTACGTGCAGGGAGAGTCTCTAACTAGCTGGGGCCAGTGGGCGGGGGTGCACAGCAGGGTGGGGACACTGGTGAGGGGGCCAGGGAAGGGCCAGAGGGCTTGGTAGCTGTGGGGCGGAATCTTCCCAACAGGAGGAGGGAGGCCAGAAAAGCGGCTGCTGCACTGTGGGGTCCGGACAGGGGTTGGTGGAGGAGGTGTGTGGGGACATGTCCTGAAGGTTGAGCCAGGAGGACATGGCGATGGCTTGAATGGGGGGCATGAGGACGCCCCAGTCTCGAGTAGCTGAGGGAACCATGGAGCTGGTCTAGGGTGAGACGGTAAAGGCTGGATTGAGTGGAACTGGAGGGCACAGGAGGGACCCAGCGAGCGGTGAGGGCGGTGACCCGGTCACCATCCAGTCCGCCGGTGTTGTGACGGAGGTGCTGGCATCTAGGAGCACAGAGAGGGCCCAGGACCTTGCCTGCCGGTCGGGAAGTCCTCCAGGCATCCCGTAAGTGGAGCTTGTCACAGGTGTAGGGATGTTGCAGACGGACAGGCTGGGGAGAGGGAGGAAGGGGGTCTGTGGGCCAGGCGAGGAAGGAGAGGACCTGCAGGCTTGGGAAATACATGTGGGGAAGGCGAGCTCAGCACCCAAGGCTCCGGCCCGGTGACTGGGTGGCAGTGGGACCTTATGGAATTGGGAACCCGGTGAGCAGGGAGCAGGTTTTCAGGAGATTCTGAGCTCACTGGGGATGTGGTAGAAGTAGAGTCCTGGGCAGCGGGTAGAGTCCTGGCAGAGGCAGAGCAGCCGGGCCATTCGTTCATTCATTCACTCATGCATTCATTTATTGACATATTTCGTGGCAGGCCAGTGCTGGGGCCTGGTGGGGTGTGACCAGAGCTGTGGGTGAGAGTCCAGTTCAGGGGCTACAGCGGGAGGAGGGAAGGCAGAGAAGTTGGGCTGCCCGAGTGTGTGCCAGGGTTCTTCTCTGGGTTACAGAGCCCAGTGAGCTGTGGTTCTCACACCCCCAAGGCCTCAGGCCAGGACCTGGGGCCCCAGGGGGAAAGAGGCCACCCTTCCAGCTGGGAGGGCTGTGCCCAGGAAGGTGAGGGCAGGTGGCTTTACTCTCTGGGACCCTCATGACCTGTTCTGCCTTCCCCTCCCCAGGTAAGAGCAAGGAGGCAGAGATCAAGAGAATCAACAAGGAACTGGCCAACATCCGCTCCAAGTTCAAAGGTGGGCCGGGGGCCTGCGCTCCTGGGTCCGAGGGAGGAGGGGCCGGGGCCTGAACACCGGGGACTTGCAGGTATGGTCCTTCCTCATTCTGCCTTCCCTTTCCTCCTCCTCCTGGCCCCAGGGGACAAAGCCTTGGATGGCTACAGCAAGAAAAAATACGTGTGTAAATTGCTCTTCATCTTCCTGCTTGGCCACGACATCGACTTCGGGCACATGGAGGCTGTGAACCTGCTGAGCTCTAACAAGTACACGGAGAAGCAAATAGTGAGTCTGGGGAGGAGGGGATGGGGGCCTGGCCTCCTGGGGTTCAAGGAGGAGGGACTTGGAGGCCAATTAGCCACAGGGCTTCCAGCTCCCCCAACCCTCCTCACCCAGGGTTACCTGTTCATCTCGGTGCTGGTGAACTCGAACTCAGAGCTGATCCGGCTCATCAACAACGCCATCAAGAACGACCTGGCCAGCCGCAACCCCACCTTCATGTGCCTGGCCCTGCACTGCATCGCCAATGTGGGCAGCCGGGAGATGGGCGAGGCCTTTGCTGCGGACATCCCTCGCATCCTGGTGGCCGGGTGAGGCCCTGGGGACCCGGGCAGGGGGGATGAGGTAGACAAGTCCCAGCCAAGTTGGAGGGTCAGGACGTCGTGTCACCTGCTCCAGGTCTCCCTGCTGGGACCTGGGGAGGATGCTGGGCCCGGAGCCCCAGCGATTGTGGTGGCAGCCCCATGGCTGTCTCTTCTCAGCCGACTCAACAGGGTGATGCTGCCTCCCAGCAAAGCCAGTGGGATGTCTTGAGTAACTGAGCCCTAATACCCACTGCAGAGGATGTTCTCCATTCATCTTCTCCATTCACTTGTGCATCAAACAGCTATTGATCATCTACTGTGTGTGAGACATTATGCTGATGGCTGGGCACGTGGCCATGACTGGGGATGGACATGGTCATTGTCCACCCCATGGTCATGGTCCAGAGTGGAAAATTAGTGCTGATTGAATAATTGCAGGATGAAGCATGTGTGGAGCACAGGAGCCCATATAGGCATTTAGTAGGGATGCCTGATCTAACCTGGGGGATCAGGGAGGGCTTCCCAGAGGAAGTGGCATCAGGCTGAGACCTGGGTGAGGAGGACCTAGTGGCTGTGGAAAGGGGAAAGGCATGAAGGGCAGTGGGGTCAGCCTGTGAGATTGTCCTGAGGCAGGAGGTCATTCAGCAAATATTTCTTGAGCACCTGCATTGTGCTAGGCCCCGTTGTGGGTATGGGAGGCAGAAGTGGGTGACACAGACTTTTGTGCCCACCCTTGGGGTGCTCACATGTACTCAAGGAAGTAAGATGAGTTCAGATAATGACAGATGCTCTGTAGAATACAAAATAGGGTAGTCGGGGGGCAGTGGGCTTGGTTGGGGAGACTACTTAAATAGACTCCAAGGAGGTGACTAGAATGATAAGAAGAGAGTTACTAGAAAATGTTGGAGAAAGAGTGTTCCAAACAAAAGGAGCAGCGAATGCAAAGGCCCTGAGGTAGGCATGAGCTTTTTACGTTCAAGGAACCAAGAAAGAGTCTCTGTGTCCACAGTGCAGTGAATGAGAGAGAGACATAAATGAGGAGATTTTATTCTAGTTGAAGTGGGAGGCTACTGGTATGTTTTAAGCAGATAAATGACATGATTGGCTTTGTTTTAAAAGATCACTCAACCTGGTGTAGGAGAAGGTAGGATTGTATTTCTGGCAACACGGTAGACTAGACTCCTGACTGATGGTCTTGCTGAAACCCAACTATCAAAGTTGGATAAAAGAGGAAAAGAAATGTTCTTCGATGTATTCATGAGCTGGCAAGAAAATAAGGAGTGCACAGGCCACAAGCTATGAGGAGCCAGGCCAGGGGGAGATGAGCAGAGTGCCAAAGCCAGGTTTTGCCCAGAGGGCATCTGTTGGAATGGCTGAACTGGTTTTGGAGACTGCAGCTTCTGGGGACAGAATACAAAGTGTGTCCGAGGAGAGGCCCGAGAGGCCACACCTCAAAGTAAGGGTGATCTAGAAATAAGCCCCCTTGGGGACTATAAGCAAAACTACCTGTTTCGAACCTTGGCACAGAGCAGCCCACACACTGGTTTTCAGCCTGATTTTCCCCTGCCTGGTTCACGCACAGATCCTTAAGCCACGCTTTAGTTTAAAGGGATGCACACTGGTAGTAGCCCAGTGTGTGTGAGAAGCAAGCAAGCCTTTTCTAGAGAAACTGCCTTCCCCACAGGCCTCAGTGATTTCCACAAATGAAGCTCAAATATACATGAGTAGCTCACAGTAAAAAATCACGGAACACAGGACACAAGGCACCATGAGAGACAACCAGCAGAAAGAAAACTGAAAATAGTAGGTGACTGGGAATTTTCATACAGGATGTAAAATAACTGTGTTTAATATGTTTCAAGAAATAAGAGAACAGTTTAAAAATAGGAGTAAAGTACAAGCAGATTTGACAAAGAAATCGAAGACATCACTGAAATAAAAAACAACAACAAACTAAGTGGTCTGGTTTAGCAGCAGATGGACAGAGCCAAAGCCAGAATGAGCACACAGGCAGTAGAACTAAAGATACGAATCAGAAGGCAGCCCAGAGAAACAGAGATGGGAAATTTTAAAAGAGAGATTAAGAGCCATGGAAGACAGAGACAGCCTAACATAATGCCATTTAGAGTTCTAGAAAGAGCAAGGGGAGAGAGTGATAGAGGCATCGTTTGAACATATGGCTAAGAATATTCCAGAACCAATGAAAGAGGATGATCCTCCCATTCAAGTAGCCCAAGAAATCATAGACCAAAGTAGAGACTTGGAGGGGGCAAGGGTGGCTGTGAGGAGACCATTGAGACGCCTGTTGGTGCCCAGGTGGTGCTGATGGCAGCTGGGGACAGGCTGTGGTGGTGAAGGCAGTCACCAGAGGGGTGTGTTTTGGCGGGGAAGGACAGGGCAGATAACATGCAGTGTGAAAGAGAGCGGGCAGCGAAGGTGAGCACTGGGGTGAGTGCTGAAGCCAGGTGAGAACCAGGGAGGCGAGGGAGAGCCGAGGTGGGCTTGGCGGAGTAGAAGGTGCCATCTGAGAGAGGCGTGGCAGGTGCGCTTGGCAGGAGGCGGTGCCAGAGAGATGCCAGCGAGGTCTGCACTGGGACTAACATGCGATGCCAGCCACACCCGGCCTTTCCCGTGCTCTGGTCACCACGTTAGACAAAGTGAACACAAACAGGTGAAACTAATTTTAATATATCTTCATTTAACCCAGTCCATCCAAGACATTTTGATTTTGACATTAGATTAACATAAAAATTATCTTTGAGCTATCTTACAGTATTTTTTGGGCCAAATCTTTAAAGCAGAAAATATAATGAGCACACGTCATATCTCCGTGTGGAACCTCCCCCCCGCCAGCTCCTGTTCCCATTAGCCACGTGTGGCCAGGGGCCACCATCTCCAACAGCCAGTGCAGGACGGACATGAGCCCTCAGGGAGGATGTGAGCAGGGAAGAGGCGCTGCAGAGGCTCAGCCCCAGGGTGGGCCAGAGTGGCGACGTGTGTCTGGGAGAAGAGAGGAAATTGCAGAATAGGCGGGGCTCGAACTAGGAGAAGAAACCCTTGCTGAGGGTGTGGTCATTTGTGGCGAATGCTGCTGATGGTTTCTTTAGGATGGGGACAGGCAGTCGCCATTGGCTTGGGTGAGACAGAGGTCGCTGGCCTCCGGGAGCTGCGTTGACCTCGGTGCCTCCCAGGGCCAAGAAGGAGGCCAGTGTGGTGAGCACACGGACATAGGTGGCGTCCCAGCTTCACACAGAGGGCGCGTGCCCAGGGCTGTGCCCTGCCTCAGTCACAGCCGGGCAGGGCTTGTCTGAGTGTTAGGCTGGTCTTTCGACACTGGAAGCATGACCTTGGCAGTGACTGGGGCAGAGGAACTTTTTTTTAGGTAGATTATTTTTTACATTGACACAAAATTCACAAAACATCAAGCTCACCGTGTGAACCATTTTGAAGTGCATAGTTCAGCGGTCTGTGCTACATTCACAGCTGGGCAGCCACCACCACTGTGATTCTAGAACATTTCCCTCACTGCAGAAAGAAGCCCCAGACCCATTGGCAGCCACTCCCCAGCCCGTCCCCAGCCCCAGGCCACCGCACATCTGCTTCCTGTCTTTGGCTTTGCTCCTCTGGTCGGCAGCACTCACACGGCCGCGACCTGACCACAGCGGCCCAGCTCCTGTGCCAAGGGCCTGTCCCGTGTCTGCACAAGGGCTCCCTGGCTGGCACACGCAGATCTGCCAGGCCGACGCTTTGTCCCTGCAATTCACGCTTCTCCTGCCATCCAGTGAAACGTCTTTTCACCTCGCCTGTGACTCGTGCAGGTCACCCCTCCTGGGACTTCCCTCTCTGCCCTTTGCCCGGGCTTCTGTTGGGTCCTTTCTGGGAAACTCGAGGCACAGCCTGGGTGGCGATAGCTGCTGGCTTCCCCACTGTGCCTAAGGCTGTGCAGGCCTACGATCCATAGCCTCAGTTCTTCATCCCCCAGATCCTACACAGGTCCTCATCTTCCTGGGGAGGAAAGTACCCAGCAGAGAGGGTCGGTGGCTTACTCCAGAGCTGCACCCTGAAGTCAGGACTTCAGGCAGGCACGTGTGACCTGGAACACCAGCAGACCGCACGCTCCTCACTGTGCTGGGAGCTGGGTACGGGTCAGGGCACGGAGTCAGCCTCTGAGGTGGGACGCCACTGGCTTCTGTGCTCGGCGAGCACCTGCGTCGGTTTCCTGTGGCTGCTCTGCCCAGCGACCACTGACCTAGTGGCTTAAAGCCACACGGATTCTCCTACCGTCCGGGGTCAAACCTCCGAAGTGGGTCTCACCGAGCTACAATCAAGGGTCGGCAGGGCCCGCTCCTTCCGGAGGCGGTGGGAGGGAATCCGTTCCCGGGACGCGCAGCTCCTGGGAGCCGCCTGTATCCCTTGGCTCGTGGCCCCTCCCTCCGGCTTCAAAGCCAGCGGCCTGGCTCCTCCTCTTCTCCCAGCTCTGTGTCTGTCCTCACATCCTACATCTCCTCTGACTGATCTCTGCCGCCTCCTTAAAAGGACCCTTGCGGTTACATTTAGGGCCCACCTGGATAATCCAGAATCATCGCCTGCTGCCTAATTTAGTCCCATCTGCAAAGTCTCTTCTGAAAGTGAGGGAACGTACTGGCAGGTGCTGGGGGTTAGGATGAGAGCCTCTGTGGGGGCCTGTTCCTCAGCACAGCACAGGCTTCCTGTCCTCTGCAGAGGGGAACCAGGCTCCCATGTCACAGAGCGCGGTACAAATGCTCAGAGGGGGAAGGGGACTTGGGTGTTAGCCCAGCCACTCGGAATCCAGCCCTGCCTACCACTCAGCATCGTTCCTGGGTGTCTCATTAGCTTGTCAACTTGGTACATGTCCAGTATTGAACTTGGGTTCTTACTCATCACCCCCTGTCTAGCCCCAGGCTGCAATGCAGCAAATGGTTTTGCCACTTGCTGTGTCCCTCAAGTCACCTTGTGCCCCACTTCCCTCCCACCCTGCATCCCTCTCATAGCAAGTCCTGTTTTCGTCTAACACATGCATCCGGAACGTAAGCACTTCCCACCGTGCGGCTGCCCGGTCTGAGGCCCCAGCGTCTCCCCCCTGGACTATTGCTGTCACCACCCCCAGTCTCCCTGCTTGTCCCTCACCACCCCCAGGCTCTTCTCCACACGTCTGCGGAGGGAGCCTTTGAAAACAGGTCAGATCTGGGGAGCGGTGGTCAATAACAGTACCTACTTTCCCCGTTTGTTGTGAAGATGCAATAAGAATCTGCGTAGAGCACTTGGAACGTGAGCTCCGGGCAGAGTGGAAGGGCTATGGCTGGCAGCTTTTCCTGTTGTCGCCTTCAGACGGCTGCTCCTCCGCCCCTCACTGCCAGCAGCTCCGTCTCCTGCTGGAAGCCCTTGAGGCCCTCCTCCGTCTGGTCCTGTGTCCATCTGCCCTGTCTGCAGTCCTCTGCCCCTTGGTCACTCCCTCGCTGCAGCCCCACCAGCCTCCATGCTGGCCCTCCCATAGGCCCATGCAATCCAGGACATTGTGCAGAGATTTTCCGTTTTTTTTTTAAAGTTACTCAGTTTTCCATTTCCCTGGCACCTTATCAGAGGCCTTCCTCCAAAAATGTCCCCAGCCCCAGTACCTGCCCTAGTGGGCACTGTAGCCCTGAGCCCTGACTGCAGCTGGGGTGCGTGCTTGGACACTGGCTGTCCCGGCTACCACAGAGGCCTGTAAGGACAGATGCTCAGACCAGTGTGTCCGCCGCTCTATCCGCCTTCCCACAGCGGTGCCTGGTGCCCGATGAGTGCTAAGTGCTTGTCAAATGAAGAAGGTGCGGTGCTGAGCCGGGCTGGACATTTTGCTTAGCTCTACCTGTAACCCCACAAGGTCACTGAGATGCTACGTATTTGGCAGATGAAGAAACTGAGGCTTGGTGGGTGATGAGGGCAGCACCAGCTTGGGTCCCACTCCACCTGGCTGTCCACCTGTCACTGGGCCTCTTCCTGGGAGGGGCGAGAGGAAGGGAGGTATATGGGGCTGGGGTCACACTGACCTTCCAGCCCTCATGTTGTGTCCCTGCAGGGACAGCATGGACAGTGTGAAGCAGAGCGCTGCCCTGTGCCTGCTGCGGCTCTACAAGGCCTCACCCGACCTGGTGCCCATGGGCGAGTGGACAGCCCGGGTGGTGCACCTGCTCAATGACCAGCACATGGTAAGGCTCCTGCCCAGCACCCTGAGACCCTGGGCTGCTACCTGCAAGGTCTACCCACTGTGGGCCAACAGATCCTTCGGGCCCTTGGTGTCCACCTGGGTGCCCGGGAGTTTCGCCTCTGTCCCTCCCTTCAGCCAGGCACCTAGAGAGTCTGGCCCCATATCCCCAGTACTCATTACCCACCCAGCTGTCCAGAAACCCCCACCTTCGTCCCTGACACCCACCTGGCAACCCAGGGATCCTGTCCAGCGTTCCCAACACCCATCACCCACCCAGCCTCCAGAAAAATCCCAGCCTCTTTCTGAAACCCAGAGGTGCTCCCAGTGCCTGTCAGTTGCCCAGCCAGCACAGGAGATGCCAACTTTGTCCCCACCCCAACACTCCCGGTCCCTCCACCATTGCCACCTCTGTGACCACGCCCTGCTCCTCACCCCGGTGGGCCCTCTCGGGCACTCCACACACCCAGGTCAGTGCCGGCTGTGGCTCCCGGTCCTGAACCACCCACCGTGACACCTGTGCACACCCTTCCCGCACACCCCACGCCTGCCATGCCCCCGAGTCTGCTCTCCGACATGCAGCCTGGATGCTCGGCCCCAGTCTGACCCTCCAGGCCCTGACCTGCCTCTCATCTGCCCCCACAGGGCGTGGTCACAGCCGCTGTCAGCCTCATCACCTGTCTCTGCAAGAAGAACCCAGACGACTTTAAGACGTGCATATCCCTGGCTGTGTCTCGCCTGAGCCGGGTGAGCAGAGCTCCCTGTCCTCTTGAGGGGAGGGACATGTGGTGAGGCAGGCTGACTTTGTCAGAGCTTATCACTAAGGGGGTGGTTTATGCTGCTATGGAGGTAGCCCAGGGTATTCTAGACCCCAAAAGGAGGCACTAAACCCAGCCTAGGAGTCTGGGGAGGCTTCCTGGGAGAGGTGATCTCTGAGTTGAGACATGGAGTGAATATAAACACTTCCTGGGCAGGTAAGAGGAGGCCTGGATTCCCAAAGAGAAGAGCACACCAGCTCATCTAATCACTGTCTCATTCATTCACCGCACATCTGAAGACTCCGGTGTGCCGGGCTGGCAGGGGAGACACGGACAGTGACAGTGGGGACAGGGCATATACCATCATGGAGGTGGTACAGGCCATGGTGGGAATACTTCCTGGAGAAAGGGTTTTCAAGGTTGAGTAGGAGTTTGATGTGAGGAAAAAAAGTCACATGCCCTTTGATTAATTTCTCTCTTTAGCCCTGTGCCTTTTTTGTGTTTGACCTTGTATTAGGCCTGGGGACCTAGACAAGGGTCAGACCCACTTCCCACCCCTGAGTAGCTCCCCGTCTTGGGGAGAGCTACAAGGAAACAGTCTCTGGTGAGCCGGTGTATTGCGTGCCCAGAGCAGACCAGGGCATGGTGAGGCAGGTAGCAGCAGTTGGAGCTCACAGGAGGGGCTGGGATTGTCAGAGAGAGCAGCTTTACTGGGAAAAATCAACCATTTTAGTTCCCGATCCACCCGGGCGCGCTGTGTGCCCGAGGGTGTCATCACCCGCCTTGTGCCCACCTTGGGAAGGCAGCGTTTCCTGCACCTCCGGCCATGCCTTAGTCCCTTTTGCCCCCAGATCGTCTCCTCAGCCTCCACGGACCTCCAGGACTACACCTACTATTTCGTTCCGGCACCCTGGCTCTCGGTGAAACTCCTGCGGCTGCTACAGTGCTACCCCCCACCAGGTACCCCCAAGCCCACCTGGACCGGGATCTTGTGGGGCAGGTGGGGCCTGGGGCTGGGGGGCCTGGGTCAGGATTTCTCTGAGGCAGGCCTGGTGCCTCCAGGTCCTGTTCTGAGACAGTCGAGTGGGAGGTGGGGTGGGATGGGGTGCAGCCCAAGAATCAGTCTAATAGCTGGGGGTTGTTGATCCCCTACTGTGGGCCCTGCAAAGCCACACTCTGCCCCAGCCCTGTCATGCAAGGGCTGTTGTCACCACCTGTTTACAGATGAGGAAACTGGGGTTTAGAGAGGGAGGTTTTCACCCAAGGTCACCCAGCGGGTCAAGGGGTGATTCCAGGCCGTGTTTGAATTAGTTTAGCTCTGTTAGGGATTTCATGCCCTCATTGCTTGGGATCACAGCCACTGGCATGGATGAAGCTCCCACAGGGAGCCATGTACTACACTGGGGGTGTCTGTGCCCCACCAACAAAGCTGGCAGTGGGGAGCCATCGCTGTAACATGCAGACAGGGAATCTGAGGCCTGGAGGTGAGACATCCCTTTCCAGGCCTGGGCAGTGATGGGGCACAGAGCCTGACTCCAGAATCTGGGGTCTAAACCCCCTCCCTCTTTCCCTTGGGCCATGGCTCCCCTGAGCTGCTGTCTCCTCGGCCGTCCTACTCACAGAGGCGCTGAGCACATAGCAGGCGCCTCATAAGCCAGTCCCTTCACTTCAGCCAGGGTACCAAGCACCATGGACCAGGGCTGAATCCTCACAGCCAGCATGTGTGAGCCTGTCTCTGTGTGTGTATCTGTGAGCACGTGACTGTGTGCAGGTCTCTGGGTCTGCACACCCATGTGGACGTGTGTCAGTGTGTGTCCGTGTATTTGAATCTGTGATGGGGTGACACCAAAGACCCCTTCCAGCCTGTGAAAGCCAGTGATGAATTTTGTCGTGGGGCCTGGGGAAGCCTCTTGCCCCTTCAGCCTCTTTTCTCATCCCATAAGGAAGGACTGAAGAAGAGCTCTAAGCCCCCTTCCATCCCAGGATCCACACCTCAGAATTTTGGGGTGTTCCCAGAGCAGGCATCTTACCTACTCTGACCCTCTGCGTTATAGGAATTACAGCCGTGGTCCTGAGAAAATGATGCTGGGCATGACAGGTTGTCTCCACTTTATTCATTTTTTGCACTGTATTATGAAAGCTTTTCCATTATATGGGGAATTAGAGAGTACCTATGATCTAGACTTCACATTTTGCTGGGTATGCTTGTCCTTGCTATTTTTTCTAAAATACTTAGAAGTCAGTAACAGACATCATGTTGTTTAACCTTTAAATACCTGGTAACATGCTTCTGCAAACTATAGGCTTTTCATTCACAACATCAATTCTGTGGTCACTCAAAAACGAATGATTCCTGGTGTTCTTTGACACCCATGGCAGATTTTCCTAATTTCCCACAAAATGTTTTTCACAGTCAGTTCACACTAGGATCTAATTAAGACATAGGTACTGACTTTATTATTCTCATAAGTCTCTTTTAAAGTGGAACAATTACTCGCTTTATCACATGATATTTGCCCTAATTTCTCACTACGGAAAATTTCAACTGCAAAGATAAGTTGCAGGAACAATGTGACAACCCCCTGGACAGCCCGTCCCAGGACCAGCGGGGATCGTGACAGCCTCTGTGTGGGCGTCCTGCCGGCTCCCTCTCTCAGAGGCACACTTGCTGAATTCCTTGAAAATAAGTTGCAAACATCTGAATGCTCCCCCTGAAATATTTCCGCATGCATCTCATAAGACCAAGAACACTGCAAAACCACAGTGCCCTTGTCCCACCTAAGAAGGTTCGAATTTACCCCACAGTGTCCTCTGCTGTCACTCAAATTGCCATCCTGATTGTCCACAGCTTTATTTTTATGGCTTTAAAAAATACAGTATAATTTAGGACCACCATTACGTTTTTGTACGTCTTTGTCATTTTTGTTTTTAGTCTGGAATAGTCCCCCATCCACATCCCCTACCCCCGTTTTTGAAGAAACCAGGAAGTTTTGCGCTGCGGTGTGTCCCACGTTCAGGATTTGGCTGATGGCTGCCTTGTGTCCTTTAGCTCGTTCCTCTGTCCCGCGAGCAGCCTGATAGGTAGGGGTGCATCAGGTTTTGCTAGACACTTGACAACTGTTCTATCCTTGCGGTGTTGCCTCTCATTCCAGGGAATGGCGGTTATTGGTGTGTGTTTTGAGCCTTTTGGTTGGTGTCTATCCCAGGTACTCAAGACAGCTCTTTGGGAAGGCCCGGGTTTCAGGGTGTCTCTGGGGAACGTTCCTGGAGCTCTGTTTGCTCTGTGAGAAATCTAAAGAGTACTGGTGCTGCACAAGGGGAAACCGAGGTTTGCATGGTAGAACTGCTTGCCCAGAAGAGTTATGAGAGCCAAGTCTGGAGTGGTGTCCTCTTCCAGCCTTCTCCCACCTCCCTTGCTTCCTGGGACCCTGGGAAGGGCTTGAGGGCCCAGACACCCTGGCCTGCAGCTGTGGGGACCACAATCTTCCTGGGGAGGATGGGAGCCTGGCTGGCTCCTACACCTGGCAGGTGCTCAGCCTGGGGGGTGCCCTCCATTTCCTCAGAGGATGCGGCTGTGAAGGGGCGGCTGGTAGAGTGTCTAGAGACCGTGCTCAACAAGGCCCAGGAGCCGCCCAAGTCCAAGAAAGTCCAGCACTCCAACGCCAAGAACGCCATCCTCTTCGAGACCATCAGCCTCATCATCCACTATGACAGGTGGCAGCCTGGCGCTGGGAAAGGGGGTGCTGGGGACCTAGACTTCTGAGTCTGAGAGAGGAGGGGGCTGTGGGGGCCTGGACTCTTGCATCCTTGTGGAGTGGGTCTGGGAACCATGCCTTCTAGGTAAAAGGATGATGACAGTGGCATGTTTCCTGACCAGGTTGGTGCTGGCCCTTCCTGGGAGGCAGATTTCCTGGATATCTTTATGTGGGTTCAGAGGCCCAGATGTCTGGGTCATCAGGAGGGGTGATGACTGGGACCCAGGGCAGGCATTGAGACCCAGGTCCTGAGGGTGATGCAGGACACACCAGCTGGGCTGTAATCTTCCACCTCATGCTGCCCCCTGCCCCCGATTTCTCTCTCACTGGCAGTGAGCCCAACCTCCTGGTGCGGGCATGTAACCAGCTGGGCCAGTTCCTGCAGCACCGAGAGACCAACCTGCGCTACCTGGCCCTGGAGAGCATGTGCACACTGGCCAGCTCCGAGTTCTCCCATGAGGCGGTCAAGACCCACATCGACACCGTCATCAATGCCCTCAAGGTGCAGCCTCTCAGGCCGTGTCCGAGCCAGCCCTCCCCACTGACCTGGCCCGGGTCTCCTCTGCCTCCTCAGAGAGGCCCAGGGCTCAGAGGCCAGCGGCAGCCAGCCCTATGCCATAGCAGAGCCTGGAACAAACCCTACCTGCTCTCCTCCCTCAGACGGAGCGGGATGTCAGTGTGAGACAGCGGGCAGCCGACCTCCTGTACGCCATGTGTGACCGGAGCAACGCCAAACAGATTGTGTCGGAGATGCTGCGGTATCTGGAGACAGCTGATTATGCCATCCGCGAAGAGATCGTGAGTCCCGGGGGAGAAGGGGGCTGGGGGCCTTGGGCCTTCTGATGGGGATAGTTGTGAGCCCAGCTCCAGTGAGTCCACACTCTGACTCCCTGCTGTGGGTACACGCCTGTGCTCACTTGCACACCCATTCCCCCGGCCGGCAGGTCCTGAAGGTGGCCATCCTGGCCGAGAAGTATGCAGTGGACTACAGCTGGTACGTGGACACCATCCTCAACCTCATCCGCATTGCGGGCGACTACGTGAGTGAGGAGGTGTGGTACCGTGTGCTGCAGATCGTCACTAACCGCGATGACGTCCAGGGCTACGCTGCCAAGACCGTCTTTGAGGTCAGCAGCCCCCCCTGCACAGTGGGGCATCAGGGCAGAGCAGGAACAGCTGGGGCTGTGGGGCTGGCCGTCCTGGGCCCCCATTCTGCTTCCTCCTCAGAGCCACCCAAGGGACATGGCGGTCAGCAGAGCATGGGCATGGGGTGCTCTGAGTGTAGTCAGTGATTCCCAGGTCTCAGCTCCAGGAGGGGGAGCCCCATGCCACCCTATTTTACCACCTGTGTGAGTGGCCAGTCACTTCATAACTCTTTGCGTCGGTTTCCCCATTGGAGAGTCAGGAGGGTTCCAAAAATCGGTGGGAGTCAAGGGCTTAGCACAGCACCTGGCGCCCAGTGCTCCCTGTCCTTATCCACCCCGTGCCCACCTCCCAGGCGCTTCAGGCCCCAGCCTGCCATGAGAACATGGTGAAGGTCGGCGGCTACATCCTTGGGGAGTTTGGGAACCTGATTGCTGGGGATCCCCGCTCCAGGTGAGGGGGCGGACATGCGCTTTTGAAGGGACTCAAGAGGTCCCCAGGAGTCTCAGTGTTGGTGGTGATGAGGCTCCTGGCCCCTTGCTCCCACCTGGCGGGGGGAGAGAACCAGTTAGGACCCCTGGGACCCAGCACTGCAGTGGCTGCGGCCTGGGGCCAGCTGGGGGTCCTGGGAAGGGTCCGTGGGCGGGCAGGGGCTGCTGCTATCTGACACCGCCCCCCTCCAGCCCCCCAGTGCAGTTCTCGCTGCTGCACTCCAAGTTCCACCTGTGCAGTGTGGCCACGCGGGCCCTGCTGCTGTCCACCTACATCAAGTTCATCAACCTCTTCCCGGAGACCAAGGCCACCATCCAGGGCGTGCTGCGGGCCGGTTCCCAGCTGCGCAATGCCGATGTGGAGCTGCAGCAGCGCGCCGTCGAGTACCTCACGCTCAGCTCGGTGGCCAGCACGGACGTCCTGGTCAGAGCCTGGCCCCTCCTCCGCTCTCCGAGCTTTGTCCTCCCTCTCCTCCTCGTGACTGACTGAGCTGACACCTGTCCCTCACCCCACAGGCCACAGTGCTGGAGGAGATGCCGCCCTTCCCCGAGCGCGAGTCGTCCATCCTGGCCAAGCTGAAGCGCAAGAAGGGGCCAGGGGCCGGCAGCGCCCTGGACGACGGCCGGAGGGACCCCAGCAGCAACGATATCAATGGGGGTGTGGAGGCCACCCCCAGCACTGTGGTGAGTCCCAGGGCTCCGGCCACTGGGGTGGGGTCCGGTTGTCGCCTCTTCTTACCTCTGCCTGGCTTCCCTGCAGTCGACGCCCTCACCTTCTGCCGACCTCCTGGGGCTGCGGGCAGCCCCTCCCCCAGCGGCACCCCCGGCTCCCTCGGGTGCAGGGAACCTCCTGGTGGACGTCTTCTCTGATGGCCCAGCCGCCCAGCCCGGCCTGGGACCCACCCCCGAGGAGGCCTTCCTCAGGTACCGCCACCGTGGGCCTGGGCCCCCCCTTTTCCATCTGCCCCCTCCCTGTCCCTGTGCCTCTGTCGCCCTGGCTGCCACCTCCCTCCCTCTGGCCACTCTGGACTCTTGGCTGACCCTGGCCACCCCTCGTCCTTTCCCGTCACTGTGTCTCAGCCTGCTCTTCCTCTCTCCCTTCCCCCTCCTCTCTTCGGCCCTCTTGCTGCCTCTGTGGGATTGGCTGCCTGCCACGCCTGTCTTCTCTTGTCTGCTCTGGGATTGGATGGCCCAGCGAGCTGGAGCCGCCTGCCCCTGAGAGCCCCATGGCTTTGCTGGCTGACCCAGCTCCAGCTGCTGAGTAAGGGGTGGCCTCAAGGGGTTGGGGGGGGGGTCAGTGTGTCCCAAGGGAGGGTTAGGGGACTGGGGAGCTCTTGTCTAGGGGCTGCTGATGAGCTGCAGAGGCAATGGTGGAGTGAAAGTCAGGGTCCTCTGACTGGGGGTCCAGGGTGGGAACGGCCCATGCCAGGAGCCTCTTCCCATTAGAGGCAATTGGGGTTCTTTGGGGAATCTGGGTATATGGATCCTGGGGTTCTGTCCTTTCAGGGCTTGCTGTCTCCTTCAATTAGCTCTGGGCCTTTACGTGTAGCCTTCCAAGCCTCCCAATCTCACTTCTTTCTCCACCTGCAGCCCAGGTCCTGAGGACATCGGCCCGCCCATCCCAGAAGCTGACGAACTGCTGAATAAGTGAGTCTCAGGAAGGATCAGGGAGTGGAATGGGGACAGGTGGGGAACACACGGCAGGGCCCAGGCCCTTATCATCCTGAGCTCCCTGCTGCCCTGCCCAGGTTTGTGTGCAAGAATAACGGAGTCCTGTTTGAGAACCAGCTGCTGCAGATTGGAGTCAAGTCAGAGTTCCGGCAGAACTTGGGTGTGTGCGAGGACAAGATTGTGGGGCTGGGATCTTGGAAAGACCTTGGCTTGGGTAGCAGCTGGGGAGGGGATTGAAGGAACTTGGATGGAGCCCTGCCTCTCTCCACCTACCACAGGCCGCATGTATCTCTTCTATGGCAACAAGACCTCTGTGCAGTTCCAGAACTTCTTACCCACTGTGGTCCACCCAGGAGACCTGCAGACTCATATCCTCTTGGCCTGGTCCAGCCCTCTGGCGCCAGCCCTGCCCTTCCAGGTCTGCCTTTCTGGCCTCTGGGACCCAGTTGGACCCAGGTCCAGACCCGTTTGGCCCTCTTACCCAAGAGCCTGAGCACATGGTTACTCCTCTGAGGTTCAGTGTCGTCTGTAAGACAGGCGTGGGCCTCCTTTCCCCAGGACAGGTGATGGCAGTGAAGCGATGCGATGTGTGTGCCTGTGTGTCCCTGTCAGCCCCCTTCCACGCCCTGACCTCGTCCTCCACCAGGCTCCACACCCATCATTCCAGTGCCTCCCTGGGGTCTCGATGCTGACAGGGACCTATCTGTGTGACCCAGGTCAGTCACTTTGCCTCTCTGTCCTGCCTCGGAAGTGTAGAGCCTCCTCTTCCTTCCCATAGGGTCGTTTTGAAGTTCGGTGCTGTTGGAAAGTCCCGGAAGGGCGGCTGGCTTAAAGGGAGTCCTTGAGCTCCTTCACCGACCTTGGTTTCCAGGCCTGTGAAGTTACTGGGGTCAGACCCCAAACGTTGAGGAACTTTTCCATTCTTTGCTTCATTCATCATCAGCATTTCCAGAGGCCTGTAGGCTCCGCTTTGTGCTGTGTGTGGGACAGGGGCAGAAGTGAGAGATGCATAAGACCCTGTCCTTGCTGATGGGCTGTTGACATGAAGGTAGATGGTGATAATAGTGCTGCCACCATCTTTGTGCACTTACTATGAGCCAAACACTTTAATAAGTACTTGTACAAAGTTATTTCATTGAGCGCTAAGGACACTACGACCATTTTGCAGATGAGGCTAAGTAGCCTGGCCAGAGTCACCGAGGCGGTTAAGAGTTGGACTTCAAACTCAGGCAGCTTCAGAGCCACTGAAGGCCCTTGCCCCCGTATGGTGTGACACGTGCCGTACTGGAGGCTGCTGAGTCCTTTGCAGAAGGCCAGACAAGGCACAATGGAGAGGCTTCACTTAGGAAGGACTTTGGAGCTGGGCTTTGTAGGATGAGTCTGGGATGGTAGGGCTGCCCCCGGCAGAGGCCTGCCTTAAGGCAGGGGCTGCCTGCAGACAAAGTGCGGAAGCATCAGGGGTTCATGCCAGGACCGCCCAGGCCATCTCCTGTCTCTGGCTTCCTTGACCGCGTGCACAGCTGGCCGTACAGACCAAGCGCGTGGCTGCACAGGTGGATGGCGGGGCGCAGGTGCAACAAGTACTCAACATCGAGTGTCTGCGGGACTTCCTGACGCCCCCGCTCCTGTCTGTGCGCTTCCGGTGAGCAGGGCGGGGCGCTGCCGGGGGCGGGGCCTCTGGGACGCCGGGCGGGGCGTGAGGGAACCCTCCCTGCTCTCCGGCCAGGTACGGGGGCGCCCCCCAGTCCCTCACCCTGAAGCTTCCGGTGACCATCAACAAGTTCTTCCAGCCGACAGAGATGGCGGCCCAGGACTTCTTCCAGCGTTGGAAGCAGCTGAGCCTGTGAGCCCCGGGGGTAGAGCCACAGCCCCATTTCGGGGTGGGCGGGGCCGGAGCGTCCAAATCCCTTACTTGAACCTTTCCCCGCCCCCAGCCCTCAACAGGAGGCGCAGAAAATCTTCAAAGCCAACCATCCCATGGACTCCGAAGTCACCAAGGCAAAGGTGAGAGCCAGGAGAGGTGCCCCGCGACCAACACCCCAGCCCTGCCCCTGCCTAACGGGAACCTCGTTTCCCATCGGTGGAGTGGGGCCACTCCCCACTCCCAAGGGTTTTGGGGAGCTGGTTTGCCACTCTCCAGGAGCTCACAGACCTGACACCCTCTGACTGCTGCCCCTCTTCCTCGCCAGCTACTGGGGTTTGGCTCTGCTCTCCTGGACAATGTGGACCCCAACCCTGAGAACTTCGTGGGGGCTGGAATCATCCAGACTAAAGCCCTGCAGGTGGGCTGTCTGCTCCGGCTGGAGCCCAACGCCCAGGCCCAGGTGAGCGGTGGTGCAGGAGGCCTTCCTTACACTGATGAGTCAGCCCTGCCTTGTGTGCCCTCTGCACCCCACATGCCCGGCCCGCTGGGCTCTTTTCTTCAGGTCCCTCTGCTCCAAGGCCCTGTCCCCTTCCGGGCTCTCCATCCTCTGGCCTTCCTGCCCTCTTTCTTCCTCCATGTCTTTTCCACCGTTCTGGGTCTTCTATCTTCCATCCTTTACCTCCTTGGTCTCCTCTGCTGCTGTTACTCCTGCCTTCTGTTTCTTCTATCAGCTTGCCGGTTCTTCTCTCCATTTCCTGTCTTCTTCTATCTCCCCTGTACCCTTCCCCCGGGCTCTCCATCCCCTGTGTCCTCCCTGAGCCGCCCACCCCGTGTCCCCCACCCAGATGTACCGGCTGACCCTGCGCACCAGCAAGGAGCCCGTCTCCCGTCACCTGTGTGAGCTGCTGGCCCAGCAGTTCTGAGCCCCGGACTCTGCCGCTGGGGAGGTGGCTGGCACCGGGCAGCCCCTAGGACTGAGGCAGCTTTGGTGGGTGGGGCAGCGTGGGGACCTCCATGGTGACAGGGAAGACCCCAGGGGTGGGGGGGTGCCTGGGACCTTCCTCCAGCCTTTTGTATTTTTATTTTTGTTCATCTGCTGCTGTTTACATTCTGGGGGTAAGGGGGAGCCCCCTCCCTCCCTTCCCCCCCAAGCACAGAGGGGAGAAGCCAGGGAAGCGGACGCCTCCTCCCCTCCCACCCCACCCTGTCGTCACCCTCCCACCCCCTCCCCGTCCAGGGGCTGTGTATTATTGTGAGCGAATAAACAGAGAGACGCTAATAGCTGTGTGTCTGTGGCTGTGGCTCCTGTCTAGTGGTCAAAGGAGTGGGGTGAGGGCATGCAGAGTGTGGGTGGCCAGGCCCCGAAGCCCATGGGTGGGACTCTGAGCAGAGAGCAGCAGCAGCAGTCGCCGTGGTCCTAACTGCAGGGCCACCAGCCGCCATCCTGTGCCCGGCTTCTCAGTTCCTGACACCAGGTAGCAGGCTCGCGGCACCTGGGCCCGGTAGGCTGCATCCTCCACCTTCTCCTCGGGTGGCCCTTGCTCTGGAGGAAGGACAGGGAGGGCCAGGGTGACCAATGAGGCCTGGACAACTAGGATGCCAACCTGCAGAAGCCACACCCCATCCTGGGCTTCAGTTCCTGACTCCTCCTGGAGAGAGCCCCCCCACTTCAGCCAGCTCTCAGTGACCTGAAGCAGGACTGTGGCCCCTCTTCCCACCCAGCCTCTGAACCCCTTTCCTGGGGATACTGTGTGTAGCCCCAGGCCATCCGCTTAGCAGTATAGATCATAAATGTGAAGGTGACACCACCTTCCAGGTGTCAGGCACTGGGCTCCTGTAACCCCCTCCAGTCGCCCTACTTTAATATGGGAAGTGGGGTGGAGGGGGTTCGTACAGCTAGGAAGGGACAGCTGTCTGCGCTCCCACCTCTCATTCCCACCTCTGTGACCTGGGACTCAGTGTCCCAGACTATACGAGGGGGCACTGTGCCCATCGCTGACCTCGTGGGAAGTGGGTGGCAGTGACCAGGGTGTAGAAGGAGCGGAGGAGGCGCCGACGCTGCTCAGGGGAAGGCTCTGGAAGGGGAGAGAGGCAGGGTGACGGAGCCCTCCCAGGCCCATACCCCTTCCAGCCCTGCCCTCCTCAGTCACCTTTATCCCCCGAGGGCTGCACAGTGAAGAGGCAACGTTTCAGCTCCAGGTGGAGGAGCAGCAGTCTGTGGGAAAGGGGTGTCATGGCCAGGGAAGAGGGCCTGAGGACCTCCGACCCAGTCCTCCGGCCGAGCCCTACCCAAGGATGTCGATGTGCAGGGGGAAGCCAGCGGGCAGTCCGCGGGGTCCCAGAGGCAGGCAGGCCCGCAGGGGATCCAGCAGTGGCTGCCACCAGCGCTCCAGAAGCTGCAAGGGGCGTGGTCATCGAGAGGCGGGGCGGGCGGGGAGGTCGGAGGTCCCAAGGCAAGGAGGCGTGGCCAGGGAAGAGGGACGGGGCCCCCTCGCGGGGGGCAGAGGGAACTGGAAGGGGGGGGCCGGGAAGGATGGGGTAAGAGCGAAAGACGGGGCGGGTTGTGGTGGTGGTGGTTTAAGCGCAGTCCAAAGGGGGCGGGGCCTCGGGAGGGGCGGGGCTGACCCGGAGGGTCCAGAGCAGAGCGCTCGAGGGGCGAGCTGGTGAGTCGGGCCGGGCCGGCGGTAGAGGGTGTAAGCGGGGGGAGCTGGACACGGCCCGCATTCACCTGCGGGTCCAGCTGGCTGAGGGGAGGGCGCGGCCCGCAGAGCAGACACAGCTCCAAGCCCGGCAGCAGCGTCAGGGTCAGCAGCCGGTGCGGCACCTGAAGCGGGACACGGGCGGGCGGGCCGGGGCCCCGCCTCCTCACGATGCGGCCTCAGGTCGCATCCCTTCTCCTGCGCTTCCCCGGCCGCACTTTACCCCCACCGGCCGCACCCGCTCACCGTGGGGCTCCCGTGCGGCAGGTACACCGGGTAGTCGCGAGCGGCCTGCGGCGGCAGGGACCCCGCCAGCCAAGGGACTAGCACGGCCTCCGGCATCCCCAGCCGCCACCAGCTTTCTGTGGCTGCCACCACGCGGCCCGACACGGTCAGGCTGACGAAGGCCGTGCCCGCGGCCTCGGCGAATCCAGAGAGGGCTTCCTGGGTGAGGGAGGCAGGCGACTGCGAGTTAGGAGACAGGAGCCCCGGGCAGGAACTTCCCAGGAGGTCGGTTCACAGCTTGCCTAGTGGTCATGCCCACGGAGCTACCCTCCCTGGGCTTGGGCTCCTTCACCTTCACGTGCAGATGCAGTCCTCAAGTCACATTGTCAAGTTAGATTTAAACAGGTAAGTGCCTGCTACCCAGCCTGACACATGCCGCTGAAACTAATGATTATAGCAGCAGCAGGTAAGTGCCATCAACCACATAGGGAAGCTCAGATCAAGTCACCTGCTGAGAGTCACATGCTGGGAGGTGGCCATGCCAGATGAGTCAACAAGAGCAGTATTTAAAGCAAGGGTAAATCGAGATTCACCAGGCAGAGGATCAGCATGTGCCCAGGAAGGGAAGCTGGGAAGTTGTTGGGATTTGTGGGACCCATGAGGTAGCTGGACAAAGGTGGACTGTGGAGTTAGCAGAGGTTAGGGTGAGGAGGTTGGCAGGCATCAGATTCCACAGGTCCTCAAACAGCAGGCTGAGGGGCTACATCCTTGTCCTGGGGAAGTTGGAAGCCGTGGGGGTGCTGTGACCAGGGGAAGGGCAGGGTTAGCTCTGGGCATAAAAAGATCCTTCCGGGGCAAAGTGGGGTCTGGCTGGAGGCCAAGATGGGAAGAGGTAGAGGCAGTGGTACAGAGTTAAGGGGATGAGGACTGAGCCGAGCCCCATAGGGACAGGTTTAAGAGTTCCCAAGTCATCCCCAGTACCTGCAGGAGGGACCCCTCTGGAGGAACCACACAGTCTACGCACTGGGTCAGGTCGCCGATGAGCTCAGAGTCCCCCAGGAAACTGTCGATGAGGCGGTAACTGGCCTAGCAGAGGGAGGAGAGGAGCCTAAGACCCAGGTGGGCCCCAGATCTGCAGCTTCCCCCTCAGAAAACTGGCCCTGCAGGGTCTAGCTCAAGAGTCAGACAACCAGACAACCGTGCTGCCCCAGGGGCTGCTGGGCACTGGGTCCAGACATCCGTGACCAAGTATCCTAATTTCCCAACAATCATATACTGCAGCCTCACCCTCAACTCCTTCTTCAGTCTCTCTACGTTACGGATATTGGTCAGTTCTTCAAGCCCCACGAAGAGAACCTAGAAGAACCACATAAGAGAGCAGGGCCCCTGGGCAGCTGGTTCTGACAGAGGAGGAGCCAGGGCTCGGACTGGAGGGGAAGGGGCTGGGAACGTGGACTCCTGAATCCGAGGCAGGGGCAAGTGAGATCGGCCAGGACTCCTGGGATTTTGAGGAGCATGTTGGGGGCCTGGACTCCTGGATCTGAAGGAGAAGGATGCCACGAGCTCAGATTCCTGGGTTTGGGAAAGAGGGCTAGCAAGGCTCACCATGGCCCCAAATACCATCTGGAGCAGTCTCTCCAGCCCCAGCTCTGAGGAGCCCTCCGCAGATGACAGAACAATGAGGGTGATGCTGTGGAAAGGAAGGTGAGAAGGAAGAATGAGTCCAGGCCAGGGCAACCAAGCAGTGAGGAAAATAAGGTCTGCCCTTGAGCCCCGATACCAGCTCCACCTTCCCCAGCACCAACAACTTCTCATACAGAGAAACTCAGGGATCAGAGAGGGTAGCTGGCTCGACAAAGATCCCACAGCCATGTAAACAGTTGGCCTTGGAGAGCTGGAAGGCCTCAGGTCCATCTCCAACAGGCCCTATCACCCAGGCCCAGCCCTTCCCCCCGTCTACGGCTTGGAGACCTGTCGTGGAAGCTTCTCCACACCACAGTTGTGTCCTGGGTCCTCGCAGAGTTCAGCTGCACCTCGAGATTCTGTCCAAACATATGGACTCCATTGAGGGAGCCGATGACAGAGAACGGGAGCTGGTGAAAGGTTGGGGGACATTAGGCAAGAGCCCCCAATCCCCTCCTCCTGGGAACCCAAGGGTCTGGGTGGGTTCCCAGCCCCCTCCTCTTTCTATATCCCCTGGCTCCTCTTCGGGAAACCAGGATTATTGGCCCACCGCACCCTCGGCCTTCTAAACTCAACTCTGAAACCTCCCCAGCCCCTACTCCCTTGAACACCCAGGATCCAAGCGCCTAACCCCCTTCTATTTCGGAGAACCAGTCGTCCAGGGCCCCACCTGCTGGCGGGCCGGAGCGCCGCCGCGGTTGCTTCTGCAGAACAAGGGGACCCCGCTGGAAGCGGCGAGGCACAGCAGATGTACGGTGCCCTCCGTCCCCTCCTCCCCCATCTGGAACCCCCGCCCCGTCCCCTCGTGAGGGACGGTCAGTGCCCGCCTTGGAGCATGCCCCTAGTTACACGACGCCGGGCTGCCGTCCAGAGCCGCCAGAGGGCGAGATGGGGGGCTGATGGGAAGAGAACGAGATTCCCGCCTTCCTCATGCAACTCAAACCCGCACTCAATTCCTACTACAGCAGCACGCGACCCCCCCCATCCTCTTCCGCCGCAGCCGGAAGTCACAATACCCCTAACAAAGATGGCGGCAAGTTTTAATTTCAAAGCTTCATTCATAGTCTCTCCCTGAAGTGGTTTGACTGCATTTATTTAACGAAAAGAATGAAGAGCCTGGCTTGAGGGTAGTGACAGCGCCAAGGCGTTGCCTAGCAACCACATTAGCTAGGCTTTTTACATTCTAAATTGCCCACTTAAAGATGGCGACGGTACAAAGGCGTTGCCTAGCAACCATATCCAATGTACTTTCCATTCTAAGGCTGTAAACAGCTGTTTCCCCCTCAAAGATGGCCGCGGAATGAGCCCCGAGCAAAATCGGGAAAAACACTAGCTCCCCCCTCACCCTCGAGGATGGTTTCGTCCTGCGAGCGTTGCCTAGTAACCACCAAATGAGGTGGTGGTTCTGTTAACTACAAAAAGAAAGATGAAATCGTTTATTTTCCAGAATCACAAAAATGTTGTTTTTGTAATGAATTTGTACACGGTAGTGTATCCATGCAGAATGTTAAGATCTTTTCCCTAAGATAAAAAGTGGCCAGCTTAACACAGAACATTCACATTTTCACAAATACGATCACCGTGCTAATGTTGTTTTCAAACTTTTTCTCATCAAACCGTATAAAAGACAAAGCGTCTTTTTTTCCCCTTTGACCTTTTATTTCGTATTATTAATGGATCTCTTTTAAACTTATTTAGGCATAATTTTTTTAAATTTTGCTATCATTAATGTACAATTACATGAACATTGTGGTTACTAGACTCCCCCTATTATCAAGTCCCCACCACATACCCCATTTCAGTCACAGTCCATCAGTGTTGTTAGATGCTATAGAATCACTACCTGTCTTCTCTGTGCTATACTGCCTTCTCCGTGTCCCCCCCCCTACATTATACATGCTAATCATAATGACCCTTTTCCCCCCTTATCCCTCCCTTCCCACCCATCCTCCCCAATCCCTTTCCCTTTGGTAACTGTTGGTCCATTCTTGGGTTCTGTGAGTCTGATGCTGTTTTGTTCCTTCAGTTTTTGTTTTGTTCTTATACTCCACATATGAGTGCAATCATTTGATACTTGTCTTTCTCCGCCTGGCTTATTTCACTGAGCATAATACCCTCTAGCTCCATCCATGTTGTTGCAAATGGTAGGATTTGTTTTCTTCTTATGGCTGAATAATATTCCATTGTGTATATGTACCACCTCTTCTTTATCCATTTATCTACTGATGGACACTTAGGTGGCTTCCATTTTT